ATTCATCACGAGGCAAATTAAAATTTCATCGCGTAACATGCTTGAAAAAGATCGATGCCTTCGCTTACCGTAAAAGTGTGCTAATACAGGCTGACCTATTGCGTTTACACATGTCGACGTTAACGTTCTAACAACGACTACGGTAAACGAGTTACACAATCTTCTGCATACTTTCTTTCCGGCTTTAGTCTACTCGTTAAGTGACACTGACAACAGTTGAACGAAGAAAAAGTTTGTGTCCACTGTGTACAATCGTGTACACAACCAACGTGCAGTCCACACGGACGTGATTGATCTTTCAACAATCGTCTCTTTGATAGCTGCTGGACTCTCTTCATATTGCAACTTTCTCGTGCAGTGCTGGAGATATTTTGTTAGAACAGAAGCCTGGACTTTTTAGATTACAAAATGGGGAAGGTTAAAAATCGTATATTTAGAAATGTTATATGACCCCTCTGTTGCAATATAACAGGTAAATGTTTCCTTTGTGGCAATATAATGAGTATATACTTTCATAGTGATGTAAGGAGCATATATCTCCTTTCTGGAAATATAATGAGCTCATGTCCCCTTTTCGGCAATATAAGGAGCACATGCCCCTTTCGTGACAATATAACGAACATACGACTCTTTCCTGGCAATTTAATGAGTCCATGCTCCCTTTCCGGCAATATAACGAGCACATACCCCCTTCGCGGCAATGTAACGAGCATATATTCCCTTTCTGCTAATATAATGGGCCTATGTCCTCTTTCTGGTAATATAACAAACGCATGCACCCTTCGCGGCAATATAACAAACACACGTCCTCCTTCTGGCAGTCTAACCTGAGTCCACCGTCTTCCAACGTGTCGCAAAGAATAATCGTATCGTTTTATAACATTACACCGCGAATAAATCAGTCATTTGGAATAAAAACGTTGGAAGTTCTACGAATAGTTGACTGTTTGCATACGGTTGGCTCATATATTATGCCAAGGGGCAACGTGAACCCATGAAATGCCGGAAGGCTCAGGCCGCTTGACCAACTGCGAAACGATTTTCACGTTACGTCGTAAATTTCTGCTCGATCGTTGCGCTCCTCGTGTTCCTGTACAGCTGATCGATGGCCCGTGGATGTGCACAGAATCCGCTCGCTTGTTTTAACTCGCCACGGCTTTCATAAGCTTCTCCGTTGCGGTCGATCGCCGGGCCTGGATTAAAAAACAAACACTCTCCCGCTGTTGGAATAGCGATCCATTTTCCATTGCGCGATACCGTTATTGGGAGCCGCTGTCGTGACCGATTGCAGGATTTTTGAGACACGTTTCTAGGATTGTTTCGACGAATCCCTTTCACGCAAAAGGTTTAAATCGATCCTACCTCGTGATATAGTCTTAAATTAGTATTTCAGAACTTAATCAGATTGTTTTAGAACTTTGAATGGCATAGTAGCACGCACGACTCGGTTTGCGCAGTAATTTGAAAAAATTAGGATATTGTTACGTATTAAATGACGGATTCATGACATAAAAGTATTTGGAAATAACACTTATGATACATCGATGTAAAGCTTAAAGTGTGCTGAAGAAAATGATGTATAGTTATAATCGATATTCTTATTGTAAAATGGCTGACCATCGGCCTCAAGAAGCAATAGACTTCATTCTACTTCATTCTACACGTGATGTCATTTGATGCATAAACGCATCACGAAGTGACACTTGTAGTACATCAATTTAAAGCTTAAAATCTAAGAAAGCTTCCTGTATTATCTGTTTATTAATATTTTTGCTATAGACCGGATATTTGTCAAAAATAACAAAGAATCAAAAATACTGAAAACTGTAAAATTCAATTCTGTATGCTTAGAATTTAATGACATAAAAGTACAGCAAAAGTAACACATACGTACGTCAATTTGAAGCTGAAAGATGAATAAAAAGTGCTGTGCAAGCGCTTCGTAATTATATGCAATAGAAAATGGCCGATTATCGGCCTCATGAATCAGTTATTATAAACGATGGGATTTAGGTTAGCTAATGTTCTAATATTCTGCGCGTTATCTGCTCGGTCGTAATAAGAGTGATGCATCAAAAAGTTTACGGAGCAGAAACATAGTTAATCAATGAAATAAGTGTTCATTATTGGATCCCACGTAATCACAATCGATAGCTACGGTAAACTGAGAATTTATGAGCATTATCGTTCGAATAAGTTTCCTAATTGCGACCGCAGCTCGACTCGAATTGTAATTGCTGTTTGCAAATTTATCGTTCCACTTTCGGACCCGATAAAGTTGCAAATTTAAGAGTTCAATCGAGACGCGTACGAGCGCCGATCAAACGATTCCGCCATACCGGGGGATCTCATTTTCTAATTGCCCGGAAAACGTTCGCGAATGCAGTTACAAGAATCTCAACATTCAATTAATAATACTTATTATAATGACAGAATTAATTAATAACACTCCACGTAACGAACTACCCTGCTAATTAATGCTGTTCGTCGATTCGATCAAAGCAATTAGCCCGATATCGACGATTGCCAATCGATGAGGTCGTCGATTCAATGAACCGAGACGTTCTTTCAACTTCGCGGTTGCGGACGATTAAGAGACACCGATCTTCTCATTCCGACTGTTGATGCAATTACCACAGTTCGTGGACAGATAAGACCCTTAAGATTCGCTTCAACTTAACGATAAATTGTTTTAGTCGCGTTCCTACTTTTTCGGAAGATGATTATTTTTCGATAATTTAATTTTTGAACATTTTTTTTAGGTTTTTGACAAATAACGCATTCAATATAAAGCTCTATGAAAAACAAGAAGATGCATCATTCTTTTGGGGATCGTTTTCGTTTAGTTGTAGATGGTTCAGTTTTACGCATAGTCGGTTCGGTGGCCTATTTCGTTTCTGTATCTATTCTATTCGGTCGAACCTTCTCATAATACATACTTAATCCACTTTCTCGTCGCCATCAATCCACTACCAATCAATTCGCATCAACCAGCCATAGTTCAGCTATGTGCTTTTCATTTTCAATAGGAATTCACGTTAATAATAATGAACTCTCGACAGTGAACGAGACGGACAATTGAACAGCAGTTTGGGTTAACTCGTTCTGATCTGTTGCATCATACACGGAAGCATGATAAATAACGTAGCGGGTAATTAACGGAGGATGGGACAAACGTTTATCTATCTGCACAGACGCCTTTATCACAGGCGTTGCCGCATAACGCGTACGCGCGACGCGTATACGCGATGCGTAGCACCGCATAAAAGCAACATTATGCGTCCCACAAATTGCGTTACCGATAACGTACGACTTTATGTTCGCCACGACCTTTACGCTGCTCAAACTCCGCGCGTATTTCACCATCGTGCCGCACGCGTTCTACCGTCGTAAAACTTTCCGCGATAAAAATACAAATTTAGAGCTCTAACGGTTTACAATATAAATTGCGTTACTATCGTTCGCTCTAAATTGAAGTTACATCTAATTCAACATTTTTGTGAAACGGTCATCGCGCTTATTGGGAGGAAAAATGGATTTGAAGATGTCGGTGTTGAAACATAGCGATAGAAGTATTTGGCGCGAAATTTTGTGATGTCAGGTCATCGATTTCGGAACGCTGGGAGGTTAATAATTGCACCGAAGAAAAGCACTCGATGCAGGTTAATTAATTTCTGTATCGTTGCATCGCAACGACACATTTTAGCAACGAAAACACTCGTTTATTTGAAACGACGATTGGCAACAATTCCGCCGATAGAGCATATTTGTGCACCACTCGTATCCAGCAGACGTCGATACTATATAATTTCCGTGTCCATATTTCAAACTGGGTTAATAACGTAGTCGAGTTATCACTCACCACAGTATAATCAATTACGGGACGCCGGAGGGCAAAGCAGAAAATCAGATCCTCTCTGTTTCGACAACGAAACACCCGAGATAAGAATATCCACGGCGTGATTTACCGATGTACATCGGCAAAGGCGATCTAGCTTAAGCAGATAAATCAAAGCTGGCTGGAATTTTCAATTAGGATCGTCGGAAGGAAGAGAGTGAGAAAAAAAGAAGAGATCGTTCGAAGATCGTCTAAGCCAATCGATAAGAAGGATTAGGGTCATCGAACCTGGGGGAGAAGGCTGGTGATATCCGTTCAAGCAAATCCCGAGTGTGCTTACGTGACTTATCTGTAACAGTATTCGGACACGTGTGAACTATCGACCCGATTATCGAGATTTATCGAGCCTCGTGTTGACTCCCGAATTTACATAAATCTATGGTGTGCTTAACGTCGCCGCGGCAAATGGGGAGTCGACTGCTTCGCACGTGGAAGGAAATGGATGACACGTGCATCATGTCTTAATTCATGAGAAGTTACTTGATGCTCGAGGAGAGAATAATGGTACACAGAACTGGTACATGTTTGTTCATTGCTGAACAAGGTACTTCATAGTGTTAGATCAGATGATTCTTCTTTTGGGTCCCATTATCTTTAGATGAAGAAAATATTAGTCTTCAGAAGTAGTCTCCGACATACTCATTGACGAAGAAGAGAATAGAGCTCCCTAAAGCTAGTCTTGAACCAAGTGATTCTTCTTGTGGACTCATTACTTTCGGAAGAAAAGAATATTAGTCTTCAGAACTGGTTTCAAACTTATTCATTGGTGAACAGAAGAAACTTCCTAAAACCAGTAGTAGATGAAGTGATTCTTTTGAGAAGTCCACATGTCTAATCTGAGGCTGACTACACCTTATTCTGCAAGTAGATAACAAATGCATCATGTCTCAATTTATGAGGACCTATTAAAAAATACAACAGTAGTACTACTCTAAAATTTATAATACTAGTATTACTCTAAAATTTACTACATATTTTTCTGCAAGGAAATGGATGAAATGTGCCTCATATCATAAGGATATATTTCCTGCAACTAGACTTGAATCAACTGCATCTTCTTTTGAATATTCCTGCTGAAGAAGTTACCAGTCCTCAGAGCTACAATTGGACTGATTCTTCATCTGCATTCTAACATTTGCTAAAGAAGAAATAGTAACTACTGTAAGACTTACTACATCTTCTGCAAGAATATGAATGATAAATCTTTCAATTCATAAAGAGAAACTACTTGCTAAAGAAGATAATACTAACTCATAGTATTAGTGGTAAATTAACTGCAACTTCTTGTGAGACTTACTGGCTATTAAAGAAGTAACTAGTCCTTACAACTGGTCCCGGGGTAACTGATCCTTTATCTATGTCTTACCGATCGCTGAAGAAGATAATACTAATCCCCAGGTCTACTTCAAGCCTTATGTCCTTTGCAAGAAAATGGATAACGAATGCATCATGCTTCATTTGATTGCTAAAGAAGATAACACCTAGAACTAAAATGAATTGTTCTTCTTTAAATTCTTCTTCTGTGATTTAGTGACTGTTGAAGAAGTAACTTGACCTTAAACCTCAGCATAATCTCTACCGGTTGCAAAAAAAACAAAATATTAATTTGTGACCACAAACGTTGATTGACGAAGAAAATAAAAAGAATCTTGATATTTATTTTCGAAGTACCACGAGGCAATTCATAGCGGTGCTCTTCATTTGTCGCCAGGCCTGACCGTACGTGTTTAAACTTCGCCCTTTGAACCGGTCGCATCCCCCAACGCTGCTTTTTATTTACCCCGGCAGTATCACAATACTAAGTGCCTAGCCAGGCCGCACGGGTAAATAAGGGACGGCTGCCGCTGTTGCTGCTTTCCATTCCTATGCCGGCGTTTTAATGCACCTGCTGGCGATGCTTGTTTGGACAACGTTACGCCACGACCATAACAGTTTTTCCCCCTTTGCCACGTAAATGTGACGCGACCGCTTTACAAAAATTACTGACCGTTTCTGGACGAATTTCGCGGATAACTTTTCCAGATTTTTCTGCCGTTGCTTTATTCACCAGGAAGATGTTTCTTTATTTCACTTTGAAATATTTTTATTAACACAACGCTTGAATATGACGGAAGTTTATGGTTTGGGTAGGTTAGGTTCTGGAAAATTGATATTTGGGCTAGGTTAGGTTTGGGAAATTTGATATTTAGGTTAGGTTGGGTTTGAGAAATATAATAATTGGGTTAGGTCAGGTTTAAGAAATTTGATATTTGGGTTAGGTTAGTTTTGCGAATATTAGTATTTGGATTAGGTTAGGTTTGTGTTTATTAATATTCGAGTTAGGTTAGGTTTGAGAAATTTGATATTTGAGTTAGATTAGGTTTGAGAAACTTAATGTTTGGGTTAGATTAAGTTCGAGAAATTTAATAATTAGGTTAGGTTATGTTTGAGAAATTTGATATTTGATTTAGGTTAGGTTTGAGAATATTAATATTTTGGTTATGTTGCGTTTGAGTAAATTAATGTTTGAGTTGGGTTAAGTTTGAGGAATTTGGTAACTCAGTTAGGTTACATTTGAGGAACTGTTTATATGAGTGAGGTTAGGTTAAGGTTGAGAATATTAATATTTTGGTTATGTTGCGTTTGAGAAAATTTATGCTTGAGTTAGGTTAAGTTAGACGAATTTGATAACTCAGTTAGGTTGCATTTGAGGAATTATTTATATGAATGAGGTTAGGCTGGGTTTGAGAAAGCTGATATTTGTGGTAGGTTAAGGTTGAGAATATTAATATTTTGGTTATGTTGCGTTTGAGAAAATTAATGTTTGAGTTAGGTTAAGTTAGGAGAATTTGATAATTCAGTTAGGTTATATTTGAGGAACTAGTTATATGGGTGAGGTTAGGCGAGGTTCGTGAAACTTGATATTTGGGTTAGGTTTGAATATATGAATGTTCATAATATTTGATACGTAATCTATGAATAGAACTTAATATTGAATTCAATTAAAAATAACGTACGCGTCAAAAGAACCACGTGACACCGCAAAATTGGGATCATCATCCAAGTGCCATCACCTTCAGAATGATTCGTATCCGCGTAAAAGTGATCTGTGAATTTCAATCAGCTTATTTAATTAAGGAGAAGACCGATCGTAATGAATTTCACATCCCGTTGCGTTCGAGGAATTTCTGATCTCATGAAGCAGAGGTGAGCCGGAAATTGCGGTGCTTCCATCGTCAAATTTCTGTACTCGAGGAAACTTCGCGCTACCGTTCACCTATGCGAGAACGTTTATATAGAAGTGGAATTAGTTGCTGCAGATTATTAGAACTTGTGACGAATTAACGCGTCTTATCGCGATCCATCGGCTGCCTCAACGTTTCGCCCGATAAAACGCTTCCACTAATCTAACAACCCAAAGTGTTTCGAACGCCGCCTTTTCCGAACCAAAATCAAGAACGAAACCGGTACACGAGGATCCTCAAATGAAATTGAAGCTTCGGAACACTTTCGAGACGCAGCAACCACGTTTCGATGAAAGTTTCGCCGAAGTCGAAGTTCTGCCGCAATCGTTCACGCGAACAAGACCAATGGATCGTGAGCAAAAGATGTAAAGAAAACTTGGTTGCGAGTCCTGTGGCGAAGGATCGATCTCTTTTCCTCTTTACTTGCGCGGTTACAAGGAACTGCACATGGGTCTTTTACATACAACAGGCGAATGCACCGACTCCTGTCAGGCGCTGGTTCCGGATCACAAAGCACGTCCCTGGGTTACCCTATCCGTCGCCTATCTGCATGATCTTATGCTGCGTCCACAATGGCGATCATGGTTGCAGTTATTTTCAAAGGTAGACACTTTCAAAATTTCTCACATAGACATTTTTTCTTCACATATGGCTTATTTGGGGGTAACTTGTGGATGGTTGGGGGATTTAGGAATATAGGAGCTTGAGAATTTTGGGATTTGAGTTCTTTGAGATTTGGAGAATCATTTATAGAGTTATAGGGATTTGAGATATAGGGATTTGGGATATAGGGATTTGGGATATAGGGATTTGGGATATAGGGATTTGGGATATAGGGATTTCGGATATAGGGATTTCGGATATAGGGATTTCGGATATAGGGATTTCGGATATAGGGATTTAGGATATAAGAATTTGGGATATAGGGATTTGGTGATCTAGGGATTTGGTGGTCTAGGGATTTAGTGATATAGAGATTTGGTGGTCTAGGGATTTAGTGATATAGAGATTTGGTGATATAGGAATTTGGTGATCTAGAGATTTGGTGATCTAGGGATTTGCTGATCTAGGGATTTGGTGATCTAAGGATTTGGTGATCTACGGATTTGGTGCTATAGGGATTTGCTGATCTAGGGATTTGGTGCTATAGGGATTTGCTGATCTAGCGATTTGCTAATCTAGGGATTTGGTGATCTAGGGAATTTTGAGCGTTGACATTCTAGGAATCTGGGAATATGTGAACGTTGAAATTCAAAAATTCTGGAATTTGGGAATCTAGAAATGTGGGGATTAGGTACTGGTCTAGAGATTTGGGATTTAGAGGTTTGATGACTTTGAAATTTAAAAACCTAAATATTTGTGAACATTGAAATTTGAAAGTTTTGAAATTCGAAGACGTTGAAATTTGGAAATTTAGGGACTAGTGAACATTGAAATTTGGAAATCCAGGGATTTGAGCTCCTAGACCTGAAGTCCTGAACTTTGAACTCCCAGACCTAGAGATTCTACTCTGTAGGTATTTACACAGATATAGGCATACGAAATGTGAGTATTCATAAATATTAAAATGTATGATTTTCAAAACATCAAGCTTAAAAATCAGATATATAAAAATTCCCAAACTTGAAACATTAAAACTAGAATATCTGGGAATTGTGAAATTGTCAAGCACACACATACGTCTTCATACAAGAGAGTCCTCCATTGCAACGGTGCAGGGTTAGTAACATGCACCAGAGAGGATACATTATGACAAAGTATCAGTGTCAATTATTCGAGAACAGTTTACCCGGTGAGTACACACCTTTAGACTCAGTCGCGGCCCTTTGGATTTAGTGGATCTCTGTCGGAGCTGACCGTCCGTTAGTTACGTGGGCCCCAGCGCCTATCCACACATAAATTTCTGTATCAGACAATAGGTAATTGTGCGCGATCCACCCCTCGACGCGTGTTTATGTGTGCACCATGGTGGGTGCGCGATCTACCTGTCTCCGCCGCTCCCCAACCATACAGGATCCCCCATGGAACCCCCGTGCAGGAGAGCCGCAGCCGCAACAATCTCGCTGCAGACACGCACACATCATCGTGTCTCGGCTAGTGTGAGTGGGCGTTGCTCTTATTGTTGGATGCCAGATCTACCGATGTAGATAGTCGAAGCACCGTCTGAGTTACGTCCTATGGTTCCTCTCGATTCCCTTTCCTCTTACCAGCCTTCCTAGCGGCATCGAACGGGCCACTGTTGGCCCGTCTGCCAAAAGCTTCTCCACTATCCAGCGGAATTACTTTGGCTCGCCGCGGGAAGACTAGGCGAATGGAAAGGGCCGAGAAATCGTTTTAAAGTGACTCGTTGCAGGGATGGTCGAGTCATGCAACTTCCATGGGTATTCTACGGTGCGTTGGAAATAGGCTCATCAGGACTTATCGGGTCCTTGGGATGGGGATTTGGTAATAGAATTTATCAGCGGGCTGGAAAGACACTAATTTGGGCCACCATCACTGAGAAATTTAATTTATTTTTTGTGTTCTGGATTACTTGTGAAGCTCGTGAATAAACTGAAATTCAGAGACACAAGATCCAGGTTAAGGATTTGAGGTTTGATCGGTATACGTAATTGCTTCACTTTATGATGTCGTTGTATGGGGGATTGCTAAAGGAACTAAAGAGTATGTCTATATAGATAGACATCAGTATCTAAGATGGAGCAAGTCAATATTTCGAATTCAAGATCTGCTAATGAATTCATCAGTATCTGCCTGTAAGGATGAATACTGTCTGACATTAGTCAAATTGTTAATGAATGCTTAAATCTTCAGAACCTACCAACAGGATTCATCGACAAGACTGCAATAGCAAGGTCAATATCACAAATTCAAGATCTGCTAGTAAATTCATCAGTATCCGCCTGTAAGTGCTTGAACTTGGATGAACACTGTCTGACATCAGTCAAATTGCTAAAGAATGCTTAAATCTTAAGAACCTGTCTACAGAATTCATCGATAATACTATAATAGCAAGGTTAATATTTCAAAT